GCTTGAATTCTTTGCAGGCACTGAAGTGGTATAAATGAGGAGAGGCTTCTGGGGACACGAGTCCACGGTTCTCACCTTCTGCAGAACTCTAAATGTCTTCTCCCTATGGTCATAAAACGGAACCAGAACCTGGAGCCAGAACCACTCCTCACACAGGCAGTAGCCCCACTGCTCTGAATGCCAAGGCTTTGTGGAGGGCAGTGGGAAGAGCCAAGCCTGAGCACAGAGCTAAGGATCCAAACAAGCAGGATTCCTGCTCCCATCTGGCTTCAAATCTGGCACGCAAAGCGCTTTTCTATCTGAATGTTGGGTTGAGGAAACCACCAACCAGAAAGACTCGGTCACTGCAGTCATCTAGGAAAAAAAGCAGTGGGTTTTCTCATGCTTTTCACAACTGCCCTCCACTTTCCCTTCATCAGAATAAACTGGCAGGGAAGGATATTTGTGAAAGCCCCTCTTTTGTTAATCCCTGGGCCTATTTCTGGCACTTTTTCCATAACCACATCCTGCCCCAAAAGAAGGACTTGCAGTGGCTGGATGACGGCTGTGTGGCGTGGAAGGGCAGCAGCCAGCTGACAAGTGAGCGTGCTGCCCCTATGGCTCTGCACTCAGGGCCCGTCCCCCCCTGAGCTCCAGCACCCACCACCTGCTTCTCCTTCCTGGGAGAGTTCACCAAGCAGCTCAAAGCACCGAGACACGGAGCTGTTCTCAGAACGTAACCAGCAAAGAGCAAGGAACAATATTGCTGTTGGATCTGGAAAAGACAGAGCCCGGCTAAGGTAAACCATGGAAGAACATCAGTGGGACTGCTTGGAGCATCTTCTGAAGAAATTTCTGGATCAAATCTAAGACATGCTTAGCTCTTTCCCCATTCTTCTCAAATCTTTTGGATTCCTTCCAGTCATTACCTTCACCATTTCTACGCACTGCTCTGACAAACACGGCTCCCTTACCACGTTCTGCCTCTCTTCCTGCATTCCTGCCCTGCAGCAAGCCGAGGTTCATCCTCCCCCAGCCTTGGTCACCAGAAAACCAGGCCTATTTCCTTCCCTTCCCTTATAATTGAGAGAGCAATGCCCATGCAGACCGCAGAGTGTGATTCCACACTGAGAGAACCAGGAGAAATTCCCTGCCAGCTCTCCCTATGGGATCAGAAGGTACCTGAAGTACATTTGGGCCATCTGGGGCTACATTCTCAGATATACTTCAGAGTAAGCACTGTCACACGGTACTGACTCCTGCAGTAACTCAGGATCTGCTCTGCCATCTTCCAGAAGTCCGTGCGTTACAAGAGGAAATCAGGGCAGCAGCTAAAGGAAGGGGCAGGGCTTTGGTAACCTTGCACCTGTGCCGACGGATGCACTTTGAGCTTCAAACAGACCCCTGACCTTTCAAACACTCTTTGATGAGAGGACTGGGAAGGAGCAGGGAAAGGAAATCTCTGCAAAGACGTGCAATTCTAGATAGCACCAATCTGCTCTAAGGGCAGCACAGCTAAAGCAGTTAGAGGTGGCCAAGCTAATTAAAGGCCACCTGCTCACATCCTGGTCTGCTAATTCTTGCTTTAAAAGACTTAGCTCTGAAAAGCATCCAGTCCCCACCTTAATGACACTATTATCTTTAATGCATGAGGTAACAGAAGCTGGGACAGGAAGAAAAAACAGAGAAGGGCTCACCAAGAGAATGACAGCTAGAAACTCTGAGATCCTCCACAAAGGCCATTAACTCTCCTACACTGAATTATCACAAATCTTGAGTTCCTCTACCAAGTGAAAAGTCACTTTATGACTTTTGCTACAGACTCATACGTGCAAAAGCAGCTAATATTTCTACATGTGCTAAAATAGAGACACCGAATACCCACAGGTAAAAAAAAAAACAAAAACAAAAACAGTCATAAATTAAAAGAATCTTTCTCAGCCCTTTATAACACCAAGAATCAACTGAGAAACACAATGCAATTTGTCCTCCCCTGGAGCAGGTCACCTTTAACAGACAAGTCACTCCCTGCACACCCCTGCCCCACTCCAGGTTTCACAGTGTGTAGGAACACCAGCAGCCTCACGCATCGCATGCCATGACAATAAATACCATTCAAAGCCTGCCCTCATCACCTCCAAGCCCTCTGGCCAACAGTGGCTGTGAACACACATGTGGTAACAAATGAGCAAGACGACACGTTTGTGGCTCTTGAGAAAACTCCATCAGATGGCCTCCCACTCAGAGAAGCTGGCATGGGTGCCCATAAGTAAATAAAAAAGCCAAAGGTTGCACTTCTAAATCTGATGGATGAATCTGTTTGCCCGCAATGCGATCAGGTGGGGAGCGAGCCTGGCTCACATTTGTCACAAGTTCCATCTGAGAACAACAACAACCTGCTCCCATCTCTAATGCCCTTTGTAGGTGATTATGGAAAACAAAAAGGACTAAATTCAAAGCAGGTTTTCAACTGGGGGGGGTCCAAAAAATGCTGACTGCAAAGGAGAACAAAGCCAGATGGCATATGCTGGTATTGTCAGGGATTATGCAGTGTAAGGCAATAGGAAATGAGCAGAGAAAAAGAACCAATTTCATCCCAGGGCTCCTCTGCTGCCAAATGAACATAGCAGGGCAACTGTGAAACAATCAGTTTATGGGTTTCATTCTCCTCCACCCCCAGACTGAGCTTAAATATTTGTATAAGCCGAGGCGTAACTTTTATCTAGTGTTATCCTTGGGGTTTACTCACTGTTTAGAGCGTTCGGTCTAAAAAGCATTCCCCCAAACTCCTGCCACAAAAAGAGACGAAACTACAGTACTAATTAAAACCACACTCTTCGGTATCAAGAAGACATGCTATTATTTTCTTTTTTGCTCATGAGAAGCTGTTAATACGGGCAATGCATCTGGAACATTTTCCTTCCAAGCGCAATGCTCAGTACCCCCTCCTGCTCAGGTCGGCTGCTTTATGAACTTGTCAGCAGTCTGGGGTGGGAAGGCTCAGATGGCGTATTTACAAGAATAGATTTATTTTTTTTTAATAACAGACCGTTTGCCAACTTCGCGTTATAAAAAGCACATCGAGAAAAAAACAAAAGCTTTACGCTGCATGAAAGGTGACAAGCTAAAGAAATGTCCTGCCTTCTTGCCCAGTGGGCAACTGAGGTTGCCAAAATATACTATACATTGTGAAAAACAGCCTCTGACTCTGCCAGGATGCTTCTGGACACTCAGCACATACCAGGAAAGGATGTGGGTGGCAACGTGTACCAACACTGACCCACACTGGGGTAAAGTCTGTTACAGAAAACTATAAGATTTCATGCTTACTTTATCCCTGTATAACTAGGATGCTTATAAGGTCTCCATTATTGTCCTATCAGCACATCAAAGGTAGTAACATATTTATCCTTATAACACTTGTAAGACAAGGTAAAACCACAGAAAACTAAGGTGTAAAGAAATTAATGCCCAGGTTTATATGCAGTGCAATTTTCAAAAGCATCTGTATGCATCCCAATACATCCACATCCAGTCAAAAAACAAATTTCTTTGTCCAAGGTCATAGAGCCATAGAATGGCCTGAGTTGAAAAGGACCACAATGATCATCTATCCTCAACCCCCTGATATGTGCAGGGTCGCCAACCAGCAGACCAGGCTGCCCAGAGCCACATCCAGCCTGGCCCTGAATGTCTCCAGGGATGGGGCATCCACAGCTCCTTGGGCAACCTGTTCCAGTGTGTCACCACCCTCTGTATATCCAACCTAATCCTCCTCTGTCTTAGCTTAAAATTATTCCCCATGTCCTATCACGGAACAAGGTCAAGCAATGGTGTCTCATTCAGAGCAGGCAGTTACACTGCAGAGATGCAGGAAGCAGAGAGAAATGGCTGCTTTGGTCCAATCCTCCTGGAGCCCATCCTACTTCCAAGTCTCCACAGCATGCTGGATGCTCCCTGCTTTGCAAAAGCAGCTCTCCAGTGGGTTAGGCAGGGTGCCACTGGTAGTGCTGCCTCTGAAAGACCCGGGCTCAGCCTCCAAAGAAGCATCTGTAGTGCTGCGAGGAAAATAAAAGTGGCAGAAACGATCCTCTAGGGGAAGGCACTTGTCCCACAAGTGTCACGCTTGGGACCACAAATGTAAATAATGTTTCATCAGAGCAATTGGTTTCTGGTTTCTGTTTGGGAGCGTGGCTTTCACTGTTCTGCCTTTGTTGACTCAAAATGAAACTCAGCTTCCCTTTTTCACAGCCACGGAGATGCCAGATTTTAATTCCTGGCAGCACACAGTGCAGCAGTGGAGGAGGGACCTTTTGGGGGTGTTTGGCCATGTCTTAGCTTTGAAGCACCTCCTGCCCTGTTAGCGAGCAGCCAGCCTCGCCAGCAGTTCAGAAGAACTGCCTAAGCTACAAAAACAAGTTAATGCACGAAAATATGACTTCAGCAAAGAAGTTAAGCTACATGGGTAAATATGCTGTAATTTCCAACATGCTTCCATTGTGCAGGGATCCAATGTAATAAAATATTCCTGCAATGCTAGAACCACGAGGCCTTGTCCCAATAAGATGATCTGATTTCGGTATTAGCTTTGCCATGCTATAACCTGCCTCAACACTGAAAGCAGCCCTATGTTGCTAACCTTCCTAGCACATTCTTGCCTTCCCTTTTTCTAACATCATTCCAAAGTCAGGCAGGATTCAATCAAGTCATGAAGTTATATGGACCACATTCCATAATGCTGTGATGCAGAATTGACATCTTTTCTCAATTTACCCAACTGTAAAGTGTCAACCCATATGCATCCAAAACATCACCGCAGAATCCCAGTGGATGGCTGCAAGTTGGTTTTAAGGACATGGGGGAGGCCTGGTGAAGGGACAGACCGCCTTTAAATGCCACATTTGCTCAGTCCTGCTTTTCATTTGAGGCTGACAGGCAATGCTTATACACATCACTGCAGCTTTGAGGAGGCTGCTAAAAGTAACACTCATGTTAAAAAAGAATCAGTAGGAAACACTTACCTTCCCTACTAGCTTGCCTTTCCTGTTCATGCAAAGGTAGAAGTCTGTCTCCTTCCCTTTGATCCGGACTTGACTGCCAAAAGTGTCTGTTTCCACTAGAAGCTGGGCTTGTAAAGGAAGAAGAAAAAAAAGCATTTACCAGCGTGGTCATGTTAAGTCAGTGTGTGCAAAGCTCACCAGTGCGTTGTCCCATTGCCTCCACTTGAACCACACCACATTTGGATGCTCTACAAGGGAACAACCCTCTTAACCACCCACGGGCTGAGCTTCAGACTTGGTTAGAAGTGCCAATCTGACAATTCTCCATGTCAGACGCTTCGGATTTAATGCCTCTTTAGCACAGAACAGGCATACACAACTGTGCTCTATATGTCTTTGCTACCCCATCAGGAATGTAATGCTAGAAGCAGCCCTCCACACTGCAGGAGGTAAAAGAATGGATTTCTTTCTCATGGAAGATACAAGATTAGCACAGACAGAATGAGATTCCTTTCCCCCCAGTCAGCAGCCCCCAAACACTTCACAGAGGCACCCCAGGCACAGGCTCTTGGTGCTCACGACAGCTAGTGGGGGAGAAGTTCAGTACAGTTTGTGTTCTGAGCCCTGAGAGTGTCAAGATGTCTTTCCAGGAGGTCACTGATTGCTTTGTGGCAGTACAGCTCTGCTGAGCCTGCAATTCCAGGCCCAGCTGGGAGAAACGTGGCCAATGTCATTGTGTTTTGCATGTCTTATTAAGGCCAAATAGTGTGTTGCAGCATTTCCAGGAGCCATGGCAGGAGCTAGATTTCTGCTTCATCTGTATATACCACCTGCCCTGATGCAATTTGATTTGCAGAAGCCATTCAAGCTGTCACACAGATGTATAGCATGCTATCATCATCACTAAAACCTACACACGCTCAAATTCAGCGTTCCATTCTGACTCTGATCTAAACTCAAATTCCAGTCATGCTCGAGGTTCAGATTCCAAGAATTTCCCTGGAGAGGCAGGAACATGCAGACTGGACATTTTGGTTCAGCTCCATCTCCGATATGCAGGGGAGAAAGTAGACATGGTGGAAACACAATGCAAGAATGTGTAAGTGTCAGCAAGTGCAAATCCACGCTCCTGCTCTGGAAATTCTCACGTTTGTAAGAACTGAGTCTTACCGTAGAAACACAGCTTTTGCCAAACTCTGAAGAATGTTTGATGTGCGCTGCAGAAAGTCACATTCTTTTTGGCATTCATATTTCAAACTTTAAAACCCTCTAAGAGCAAATATGTTCACCGTTAAGGATTTACCATGGGGATAGAAATAGGAGTTTGTTTCATTTAAACACATTAATATTTTTCCCACTTGTAAAGTCAGCTTTTGGCTTCTGCAGCAGTGCAAATATCACACACCTTTAACTCACGAGGGCCCTAAACGGAGTTCTCCCGTTGCAGCCCAGTCACACATGCAAGTTCAGGGTTTGCCAGTTACTGTTTACATTTATGTAGATATATTCATTAAATCTTTATCACAGGGGATATTTAAAGAATATGTTTCTGTACTTCTTTCTGACAGCAAGTAGGATAATATCTGTATTATACCAGTACGCAGCTTGCAAACACGTAAATAAGGACATTTATCCACGCCTCTCAGGCAGGTGCTGTGGTTGGAGGATGGATACCAACAGCAGCTGCATGCTTTGTCTCAGCACATGCCCAGGTGGAATCAAACCAGTGCTCACCCACACTTCTGGCAGGAAGGCCACATGGCCAGAAATATTCCATCATTGTAGGGATACAAAGATGAACAAATCCAGGATGGCAGAGCATGCCACAGATCAAAGCCAGGGCTTCACTGAGCTAAATGGTGTGTACCTTGGAGAAGGTCATCGCTTCAAATTGCTCAGGGAGGCTGCTCAGATGCAGTGCCATAGGAATGGATCAGGGAATAGCCAGGAGTATGACTATCTCTAAAGAAGTAACTGTGAAAGGTTGTCTTGCACTAAGAGACGTGGTTTAGTGGAGAAATATTGGTTGTTGGTGGATGGTTGGACTGGACGATCTTAGAAGTCTTTTCCAACCTTGGTGATTCTATGAGGAAGCGACAGAAACTCACAGTCAGTGCAAGAGGGGAAAGCAGCAGCCTGAAATCTAAGGAACCAGATGTGAGATGCCAAGCACTGGCCAAGAACTGTGGTCAACACCCAGAGCTACAAGGAGCTGCCTGCAGATCTCCACATCATATCCACACAGCGACATAAACAGGGCTTCCAAACACCAGCTAGGGCTCGGCAGCTTGCATTCAGGCACAAACAGGACACAAGTTCACCCACACTGCCTGCCCACCTTCTGCTGACCCCCACTCCAGGAACACCACGTCTAAGCTGCAGGGCCAACCCCATCCATCCAAGCCTCAGCGCTGCTACTAGAACTGCTAAGAACAACCCCAGATATCAGATACGGGCTTCATCCAGCCAAAGGAGAAGTAAAGGTCAATAAAATGCTCCATTTCCCCACTGGAGCTCGAGCTGCAGGCTGCCAGATGGCCAGCAACCCGCACACAGCCAACGCGGGCTGACAGCACGCGTGCCCGGGCTCAGATGAACAAACACAGGGCACGCGCCTTGCTTCCCCCCATCCCCTCACACTGCAGCCAGTATGAGTAATATCCAAGCTGATTTTAATTTGAAAAATATCACCTTAAAAAGATGCCGGTTCCCTGCTGTGAAAATTAAAACCATCTGGATGGAATGATTTCAAATAATTAATCTAGGTCTCCTTTGACACCGCTGCTAATTAAAATATGATACCTTCCTCCCCCTTTTTAAATAAAGAATTTAAATAAAGTTTAAAGATCTAATAAAAGAACATTATAGTTTAGAGCTAAATGGAACTCACCTTCCCCATGGGTGGCAGAGGTTACGCCAGCACCCCCCCCTCCCTCAGCAGAGTGACACTGCTTGCACCAAGCAGCAGTGATGGACAAACATCTACAGCATCGCCTACAGACATACAGGCACCCATATGACCCTGCTCAGCAGCCCCTGATGTCCAGGAAGAGGGAGCAGAGGCTCAGCAGATGCTGTCTGCTCCCTGCTGCAATCCTGGCTGCTGAAGCATTGGCTAAGGCAGCCCAGAGGTACCCACTTCTGGAAAAGCTGAGTCATAAGATGCTGAGAACATGTTCTTATTTTTAAGGTTCCTTCTCCTCCTGTCCCACTCAAGAGATCAGTCAGGCCTTGGGGTAGGGCTCATAACCCAGCTGGTTTCCACCCTACAGATTCTCCTTTTTAACCCAGGCATCTATGATTTGCCCATCTCTCATTGAATTCTCTCAAGAGCCCAAACAGTGATGCTGAATATCACACCCAGACAACTAGAATGAGTCAGGGTGAATCCCAGCCCTGAAAAACACACGGGAACTTTACGTGGGCCCTCAGTGGCAGTGAGCCTCCCCCAGCACACAGCACCTCCAGCCCCATCCATCCCCAGGTGCTCTGCAGAGAGATTACAATCTTATTTTCAAAAGCTCTCTGCTCCAGCCTTCAGATCAGCTATTATTGTTTAAATTCTTTGACAGCTAGATAGTCTGATACATTTTCCAGAAAAAGAAAAAAAAAGAGAGAGAAAGAGAAAGAAAGAAAAAAGATGTCTTTAGAGGGTAAGATCTTCTGCTACATGGTTTTGCCTTATTGGCCCATTTAACCTAAACCTTCCTGAAAACTCCCACTGGAAGAGACTGGAATTCCTCACATGTCTAGGTGAAAAGGATTACACATGTATGCTGAAAAGCTATCTTCCAGCTAAAAAAACACAAAGCCATGAAGATATGTGAAGGTAGCAGAAAATATGCCAAATTATCTTTGAAATATTTCCTGGAAGCACGAGGATGGGAGCCAGAAAAGCACAAGGAAGGATAGAAGAAAAAAGTACCTGAAAAGTGTCTTAATGACATTTATCACAAACTCCTAGGTGCCAGCCAGGTGCAAAGGAAAAATGCAATGAAGGTGCAGAAGGACTGGATGACCCACAGATGTTAGTGCAGAAGCTCTGGCTGTGAGCACAGCAGACCTGTTCTTCTTCTGAGAGAGTAAGACACGCTCTTGAAGGGCTGTGCTTCCAGGGAGAACCCCAGCCAAGGGCAGGCTTTTCTGCACATCCCCGCTTCAGATAGTTGAAGTTTGTTCAAAATGCTGCCTGCCCCCAAGCAAAAAAATAAGAGAATCCTTTATGTGACCACAACATCGGAGAGAATGACCCTGTCTCCACTTTATATTCATGACGTAATAGGAGGGAATAACGCCAAAATTATGTAAAGTCTGCAGGGTCTAACAAGGCCTGCAGGCTGTTGACAAGCGAGGTAATCTATGGTGCATCTGTAATTTCTGTTTTCTCATTTGTATGTTCCTCCAAACAGTGCCTGGTCACTGCAAGGTGGGGTAACAGAGGCTCCAAGGCCCACATTCCAGGCATTTCTGAACACTTGTAAGCACCCAGGTTTGCAAGGACAACCACAACCTCTTGCTCGGTCAAGAAGGACAAGATCTCAGGCAAATAAACCCCTGGGAGCATCAGCACAGCACTACATCCCGTGGCATCCCTTCAGGCCTGCAGAGGAGAGCGTGCGAACAAAGCAAAGACTGCAGAGATGATCCGACCCCCTCATAGCAGCACACGCCAGCACTCGGAGCTCTCAGGAACCAGACAGGTTAAATATTTGCAATGGAGACATCAGAAGAAAATCTATAATGCAGCAAAGACCTCAAAGGCACTTACACTGCAGCAACCTGGTCCTGCAAATACTTTCACACAAAGGACCTCGCACACGTCGGAAGCCCCTGAGTGCCAATACAGACCATGCAGGGCTGCAGAGTCTGGTCTCTGCCTTCGGCTGCACTGCCAAAGCAATGGAAGCATGGCTTTGGGCAAGGAGGTGTGATCTTCCACCGTCCCCAGGGCTTTCTGCTCACCTAAAGGGCTCCAGGAGCCAGAGCAAAGCGCAGGATCTCAGCAATTTCAGCAAGGAAACAAGGCTAAAATCCCCTTCCTAGCACACTAGAGCAGCTTCCTGGGATTTTTACCTCTGAACTGGCAGATAAGGGTTTCAGGCTCCCAGAAATGCCTTCAGGCATTTTC